GGCCCTTAGACACACAAACTATTCTATTATAGAGGTCATTTGGATTAACAGGTGATCTTTGGTTGTAAAGTTTAACCACAGCATAAAGTCTGTTTTTTTTTAAAGATAAAAGTCAAAATGACATTATGTTGGAAATACAATGTAAAATTGTCAATGCTTTCAAATTTGGGTCAGTTAAGTCAGACCTCCCCATAGAAAATTTCTGGATGAAAATTATCCCATAATTTTGCTCTCATTTTGCTCCATTTTGCTCCACTAATTTCGATTTTTGCTCCATTACAGTGGAGAGACTATGTGGCCTATTAGGTGGGGGGGGGGCTGAATTAACGCTAGCCCCCCCTAGTGAAAATTCAGAAATTTGATTATGCTCATTTTGTCCTCCGAGTTTTGCTCCATTTTGCTCCACTATCGGCGAGTTTTGCTCCATTATCAGGAGAGACCTACAGAGCTCCCAAGAATCTCTCCCAGCCCCCCCCAGTGAAAATTCTGAAATTTCATCGTGCCCATTTTGTTCTCCGTCATTCCTGGTAATGGAGCAAAACTCGCCGATAATGGAGCAAAACGGAGCACAACTCGGAGAACAAAATGAACATGTTCAAATTTAGAAATTTTTACCGGGGGGGGGGGGGGGGGGGGCTAGGAGAGATTCTTGGGAGCTCTGCAGGTCATTCCTGGTAATGGAGCAAAACTCGCCGATCATGGAGCAAAATGGAGCAAAACTCGGAGAACAAAATGAGCATGATTAAATTTCAGAATTTTCACCAGGGGGGAGGGGGGGTGGGGGGCTGGGAGAGATTCTTGGGAGCTCTGTAGGTCTCTCCTGATAATGGAGCAAAACTCGCCGATAGTGGAGCAAAATGGAGCAAAACTCGGAGAACAAAATGAGCACAATCAAATTTCTGAATTTTCACTGGGAGAGATTCTTGGTAGCTCTGTAGGTCTGTCCTGGTAATGGAGCAAAACTCGCCGATAGTGGAGCAAAATGGAGCAAAACTCGGAGAGCAAAATGAGCATGATCAAATTTCAGAAGTTTCACTGGGGGGGCTGGGAGATATTCTTTAGAGCTCTTTAGGTCTCTCCTGGTAATGGAACAAAACTCGCCGATAGTGGAGCAAAATGGAGCAAAACTCGGAGAACAAAATGAGCATGATGAAAATTCAGAATTTTCACTGGGGGGGGGGGGGGGGGGGGCTGGGAGAGATTCTTGGGAGCTCTGTAGGTCTCTCCTGGTAATGGAGCAAAACTTGCCGATAGTTGAGCATAGTTGAGCAAAATGGAGCAAAACTCGGAGAACAAAATGAGCATGATCAAATTTCAGAATTTTCACTGGGGGGGGGGCTTGGAGAGATTCTTTGGAGCTCTGTAGGTCTCTCCTGGTAATGGAGCAAAACTCGCCGATAGTGGAGCAAAATGGAGCAAAACTCGGAGAACAACATGAGCATGATCAAATTTCAGAATTTTCACTGGGGGGGGGCTGGGGGGGCTGGGAGAGATTCTTTGGAGCTCTGTAGGTCTCTCCTGGTAATGGAGCAAAACTCGCCGATAGTGGAGCAAAATTCGGAGAACAAAATGAGCATGATCAAATTTCTTAATTTTCCCTGGGGGGGGGGCGGGGCTAGCGTTAATTCAGCCCCCCCCACCTAATAGGCCACATAGTCTCTCCACTGTAATGGAGCAAAAATTAGTGGAGCAAAATGGAGCAAAATGAGAGCAAAATTATGGGATAATTTTCATCCAGAAATTCTCTATGGGGGGGGGGGGGGGCTAACTTAACTGACCCTTCAAATTTTTATGTAGAAAAGGCTTGTGTTGCCAACATAGTTACTAAATTTTTGACTTGGGGAATTATCAAAAAAAAAAAACACACTTTTTACAAAAACAATCAGCAGGTTAACTCTCACGCGCATCTTTCCTGCGCGCGCCGCCATTAGGGGATACCATCCTGTCATTAAGCGGCAGGGGCGCCGAAATTTTGTTTTATTTCTTTATTTCTGACGGAGATCATAGGCGTGCGGTGTAAAGCGGGATTTTGGTTATGAGTTTCGAAGTGATTTTAGTATATCCGTGTTGTCTGTTATCATTGTTGTATATTTAATAATAATAATAATAAATTAGCAAATATAAATTTAATTATGTAAGTAATAATAAATTAGTTTATTTAAAGCCAATACCACTCTGTGACAGGAACGAAAAAACCTAAATTATCATTAATCAGGTCCTGTTTCGTATCCCAAAATGGTCGCTAGTGACATTTCGACGATGAATAATTTCTTTATTTACGACTAATGTATAATGTGCGTATTATATTTGTGATTTTGGCAGTATAATGAGATATGTTATTCCTCCAGGGATTAATGACGAGTAGCGGGACTAATGGTCATTATTCCACAAAAGTGTCAGTGTCAAACGTGTAGTGCTTGTGGATTTGTATTGAAAATTATGAGACGGATGAAATTTGTCATTGAAAATCTCAAATAAATTAATTTGTCGTAAATAAAGTAGAGTATACTACTCGCAATAATGGCTATTATTCCCTCGGAATGTTACTCCCTCGCCGCTAACGCGGCTCAGTTCGTATAATCCTCGGGAATAATAGCTATCATTATTGACTCGTGGTATAATCTACTATTATTACACAGGCTGTCACTCAAGTTAGCCTGCTGATTGTTTTTGTATATGCTGTGGTTTAATTGTTTTAGTGTTTTATCGCTTCTTTTAAGTCGAATGTCAGCGAATGTAAGTCCAGTCATGCGTAGGATAATTTTTTCCCTGAATCTCTATTTTTTCATGTTTATGCAGAATTCAAAATTTTATATCTTGAAAACGGTTTTGCCTGGAAGAGTGAAATAAACACCATAATGTACCTACCTATTTCAATTTTACAAAAAAATTTCTTATTGACATTTTTCGAATCTCTTAAGAATTTTAAGTTATTTGGCATAACTTAAAAATATTCCAAAATACAAGATGGCGGACCTAATTTCGTGATGTTATGCAACACGGACACTTGGGGACTTTTAGTATGTTCAATAGGAGCCTAAACACTAACTTTTAAAATACATCCCATCATTCCCATCTTTATAATAATTTGTTTAGCGTTCACACGTCTCTCAAAATAAGTGTACTGGAGTATGCTATTGTCCTTTTCCATATTGTGTAATGAATGTAAACAAGGTATATTATAGGTATCGATAATGATTATTTGATAATTTGAATTTTCCATCATTTGCATTTCCTCACAAATCTATATGTAGACCACCTTTGTAACTGCACAACTTTGTTCTAATCAAATTCATGGCGTTTATTTCTATCGTACAATGCTTTAACTAATTTATAACTAGGTACCTTACTTCATAGTTCAAAATATTAACCACCAATGCTACGATTATTAAAAAAAAATAACAAAAAATGGACTGATGGACAAAAGCTCTTATGCATAGGATCCAGTAATGAAAATTAAGTCAATATGTTATATCTAAAAAAAAATACTATATCTTCTATGATTGCCTTTTAGAGTTAAATTTGGTTGGTTAGAATCTCATTCTCCTTCACTAATTACAAGCTTTTATTTAACTTCACCTGTATGTATGTATGTGGGTATGTATGTATGTAATCAAATCTTGCAACTCGTTTTTGAAGAACTTCCAAACATCCGATTGACTTCAAATTTCGCATAGCGTCTTAGTTCCGATGACAATACAATAATATGGTGTCATCGGGTACCTACCTCCCCCCTAACGTGGGGGGTGGAGAGGGGGTAAAACTTTAGTTTGTCCGATTTCAACCAAAATTGGTATCTGGGGGTTTTTGAGGATGAGAATTACGAATTTTTGATCAGATTACAAAAATTCAATATGGCGGATTCAAAATGGACGATTTAATGTCAAGTTTTTCTGATTACTTTCAACTGACTTCCACGTATCCGATTGATTTCAAATTTCGCATACCGTTATAGTTCCGATGACAATTCAATAATGTGGTATCACTGACTGCCTACCTAAATATTTGAAGGCGCCAAAGTTATGTTGCGGTCCAACAAAGATGTAAAAAAAGGTTTAGTGAACGGGGCTATTGGAAACGTAACTAAAATTATCTGGCCATGCTTTCGGCGAGCACAGATGTACGACAATGATATACCTTCAGTGGAAATGGACTTTGGTAATGACGACATTCATATGATTCAGCCGAAATCTGTGCAATTTCCTGCAGACAGATATTTCAAAATTGACAGGAAAGACACCCTGCAATATCGATGCGCTAGCTGAAATTCATAGACTTAGACAAATCTAAAAATTGAAAAATAAATTTAGAAAAAAAAAATTTTTGAAAACAAGCTTCTATAAAATGGACTAAAAAGCATAAAATAATTTTTTGAGTGTTCTGATATCATAATAATAAAAGCGATGGGCGTATTTAATATTAGGTAAATGCCTTTCCATGCGCATTTGGTGGATCGTCCATATAACCGATGATGGGCCGACTCTTCTTTTTCAATGTGACAAAATAAATCGACACACTGCCCGTCGCGGATGATCTGCCTAATATGAAGCAGGCGTAATAATGTCCATCCATATCAGAAAGGTGTAAGGGTAGCTTGATTAGGGTTGGGTTGAGTTGGGTTAAATTGTCTACCCTTACATTTCTCTGCTATAATATAATGAATTTGGATTTTCACTAAACTTCGAGTTAACAAGGCTAAAACAAAAACGGGTAAATTTCCTTTAATACGCCCATCGCTTTTATTATTATGATATCAGAACACTCAAAAAATTATTTTATGCTTTTTAGTCCATTTTATAGAAGCTTGTTTTCAAAAAGTTTTTTTTTCTAAATTTATTTATAGTCAAGTTTACATTTCAAGGCACACAAACAGCGAATATACTTGCATAATGAATTGATTATTTTTAATTATCATACAATCCAAATTCGATGTTGATTTTGTGGCGGCTTATAAATTTGATCTTTTCTGTTATCATTTTAGCAATACCTTCCTATTACCATTGATAGTATCAGTTTGTTTAACACATTGAAATGCGTTCTAAGGTTAGTAAAGCAAACAATTATTTATTTTTTATATTTAACCTTTTTGTTCGTTATATTTTAATTTTAAAATCATGTTTTATTCATGTAAATATTGAAAGTACGCAAAATTAGGAATTAGGCCGATATAATCAAAATATCAAAAGCCAAAATAGAAAAGATAGTATATTGTTATAATTATAATCAGTTTTCTGTGCGTTCAGGTCTTCGGTCTTCAGTATATTCCTCGAGAATCACCTTATTGATAAACTGTTTCTTCTCCAATAGTCCTAGCGGTACATGAAAAAAAAACGGCAAATTGTGTTAAAAGCATGAATTTTGGTACACTTGGTCTTTGAACCATAACAATTGATTTGGCCCGTAGCACTACCCCACAACTGTCATTTGTTTATATTTGTTTAAACAATTCACTCGATCTGTTAAAAAAGCACAAAACAGGCTCACCAGATGCCAATGCCAAATAAAATTTAGATTGGAAGTTGATAAAAAGGACAGAAAGTCATGCTGACCCATGCAAAGGCTGACCCAAGTAGCCACTTTGATTAATTGTTTAAACATATTGTTCACTTTTGTTTATGCAAAATTATTGATTTTTCGGATATTGCATGTGGGGAATCGATTTCGACTAATTAGGGGTCAAAAATCTCGAATAATGAAATTAGAACTCGTTTGCAAGGCTTTTTTAATTGTTCTTCTGTATAAGGTATAGAAGATAATATTGAACAAAATTTGGCACTCAAGTGACAGTGGATGAATAACTGAGGATAAATGAATTAATAAAACCATTACATAATAGCTATTTATGTAACAAGTTGTAAAATGAGCGTGTTTTTTGCACTAAATGTGAAGATTGAACCACGAGCGAAGCGAGTGGTTCAGCACATTCAGGCCTATGATGTATCATTTTCTGTTATTTTAACAGCAACGTTAAGTTATCTGTCACTGTTTATTCTATGCGTCAAAATGGAGACAGAAATAGATGTTGAGCCTTAACACGGCCGTTAAAATAACAGGACAGGATATATCATAGGCCCGAATGTGTGCAAAAAACCAGCCATTCTGCGACGTGTTTTATACACGATTTTTTGTGATTTATTCAAAATATTTAAAATTTTAAAAATAAACTCATTTCAACACTGACAAGGAACGCATTCTTAATCCCATTTCAACACTCAGTGTTGATAAAGAAAGTATTAATCACCTGTTAAAAGATGGATGTGAAACTTTATCGAAAATCATCAGAAAAAAAAACTCAATTTGACGCAAATTTTTTCATATTTTCATTCCATAAGGGCCGCATAAGTGCCCTAAAACCGTACTGATTTCGAAAAAAAAAGACACAATGTTGATCAAGAAAGTAATAATCTTCTGTCAAAAAATGAATGTGGAACGCTATCGGAAATCTTTAGAAAAAAAAAGCTCAACTTGAAGCAAAATTTTTTATATTTTCAACCCATAAGGGCGATGAGTGCCCTAGAACCGTGCCGATTTTGGAAACAAAATTGACACAATGTTGATAAAGAAAGTATTAATCACCCATCAAAAGATTCATGTGGAACCCTATCGAAAATCTTCAGAAAAAAATAAAAGCTCAATTTGAAGCAAATTTTTTCATATTTTCAACCCATAAGGGCCATAAGTGCCCTAAAACTGTCCTATTTCTCAAAAGAATTGGACACAATGTTGATAAAGAAAGTATTAATCACCTGTTAAAAGATGAATGTGGAACTTTATCGAAAATCATCAGAAAAAAAAACTAAAAACTGAATTTTAAGCAAGTTTTTTTATATTTTCAACTCATAAGTGCCTTTAAACCGTACCGATTTCGAAAAAAAATGGACAAAATGCTATTAAAGTATTAATCACCTGTCAAAAGATAAATGTGGAACCCCATCGAAAATCATTAGAAAAAAAATAAAAACTCAATTTGAAGCAAATTTTTTCATATTTTCATTCCATAAGGGCCATAACTGCTCTAAAACCGTACCGATTTCGAAGAAAAAAAAAATGGACACAATGTTGATAAAGAAAATATTAATCACCTATCATAAGATGGATGTGGAACCCTATCGAAAATCTTCAGAAAAAAAATAAAAGCTCAATTTGAAGCAAATTTTCTCATATTTTCAACGCATAAGGGCCATAAGTTCCCTAAAACCGTACCGATTTTGAAAAAAAATTGACACGATGTTGATAAAGAAAGTATTAATCACCTATCAAAAGATGAATGTGGAACCCTATCGAAAATCTTCAGAAAAAAAATAAAAGCTCAATTTGAAGCAAATTTTTTCATATTTTCAACCCATAAAGGTCATAAGTGCCCTAAAACCGTACCGATTTTGGAAAAAAATAAACACAATGTTGATAAAGAAAATATTAATCACCTATCATAAGATGGATGTGGAACCCTATCAAAAAACGTTCTCGCTTTCCTTTTTCCTTTACTCTGGCACTGGAATTGTCGTCATTTCACATAAGAGCGGCGCATAGTATAATTTATGTCCGTTTGCACCGATCATTTTAAGGAAGCCTTAGCGATAAGTATCCCTTTAAATGACATTTTTACGTGGAGAATACCTATCGCTAAGGCTTCCTTCAAATGGTCGGTGCAAACGGCCATTAAAAAAATAATAATTCAATAATTTGTATCATGGAAGTATTAAAAATGCGCGGAAACGAGTTCTAATGTTAATAGTCGAGCTTCTTGACCCCTAATTAGTCGAAATCGATTCCCCACATGCAATATTCGAAAAATCAATAATTTTGCATTAACTAAATTAGTAACAATATGTATAAACAAAAAATTGAAATGGCGACTTGGGTCAGGATGGGCCTTTGGATGGATCAGCATGACTTTCCGTCTTTTTTATCAACTTCCAATGTACTAAATTTTATTTGGCATTGGTATCTGGTGAGCCTATTTTGTGCTTTTTTAACAGATCGAGTGAATTGTTTAAACAAATATAAACAAATGACATTTGTGGGGTAGTGCTACGGGCCAAATCAATTGTTATGGCTTAAATACCAAGTATACTAAAATTCATGCTTTTAACACAATTTGCCGTTTTTCACTAAATACACACCTCGTCAAAAGTCTTGGCCCCCATTATTATCTTTTAAATTGTTTAAAGTAAGGAGATAATTTTTTTTGTGAAATTCATTTTTTATCTTATTGAAAACATAAAAACATTATCATTGCAAAAAACCGCCTTGTTCAGAAAATATGCAGATGTTTCTAAATTAAGACAGTTTAAAAGCAAATACGGGTAGAGCAGTTTTATTTAAATTTTGAGAAAAATGCCAGGAAATCAAATCTCTCAGTTCGACCGAGCAATAATAGTGGCTCTACATCAAGAAGGTTTATCAAATCATCTTATTGCACGTCGTTTGAATATCCCAAGAACTTCAGTAAGGCGCATTCTGCTCCTTTTCCTGGAAAGTGGTAGCGTTGCAAGAAGGCCGGTCAGTGGCAGACCCAGAGTGACAACGGACAGAGAAGATCATTATATGGCTAATTTCACACGGAGGAACCGAACAATAACCGCAACAGGCCTTCGAAGTCACTTTTTGCGCACATACCGAAGGGCAGTTTCGACAAGCACCATAGGCAGAAGACTACATTCCTCAAATTTAAGGGCAAGAAGACCTTTAAGGGTGCCTAGGCTTACACCTCAACATAGAGCTGCACGTCGTCAATGGTCCCAAGAACACAGAGATTGGCTCTTGCCTCAATGGCGCAACGTCCTTTTTTCGGATGAGTCGCGATTTGGTCTACAAAGTGACAGTCGGCGGCACAGGGTCTGGAGGGGTCCGGGTAGAGCAGAACGACTTGCTTTTGCCAGAAAAGTTGTTCCCTATCAAGGTGGAACAGTTATGTTTTGGGGCGGTATAATGTATGGTCGCCGTACCCCACTTATCCTTATTCAGCGAACAATGACAGGTGCCATATATGCTGAAAACATTATTGAACCAATCATTCAGCCCTTGCGCAATGAATTTGGAGAAAATTTTATTTTTCAAGATGATAATGCCACACCACATCGCACACAAAGGGTACAAAACATGCTGCGGGAAGGAAATATCCGAAGAATGAACTGGCCAGCAAACTCTCCCGACATGAATCCAATTGAACATGTATAGGATCACATTTCCAGAGCAATATCCAACCGAGAAAATCCCCCTCTAACCCTTCAAGACTTAATTGCAGCTGTTCAAGAAGAATGGGACAATATGGCGGTAGATTATATTGATAACCTGATTAGAGGGATGCCCAGACGTGTTGGTCAATTGATCGAAAGAAGAGGAGATCATACAGACTACTGGAGTATGTTTTTGTTAGTCCATTACATTTTTTGTCGAAGAAAAATAATTTTTTAATTTAAGAATTTCTGCCATTTTTTTCGTTATTTTGTTGTACTGCATTATATAGAAAGTAAATAAAAAAATGTATAGTCTGTTTTTTTTGGAGTTGAAGTAAAAAATAAACTTCACTAAGTTTTAAAACTTAAACTTCTTTGTTTTTGACTATTTCACTAGAATGTATTACACCAGCAATAAATTCGGAATTCACCTGACAATAATGCTACCTGGACAATACCAACAACATGGTATTTCAGCGACCATCTTTTGACATTGTCAAACTGGTATTTTTAATTTGAAGTTTTTATTCATAATTTTGCAATCTATTTATTTTCAAAATCTTACGTGAAATAGTCATGACGAATACCACTCGATAAAAAATTGTGTAGGCAAAATTGTTCTCAAGGTTTTATTCAAGTTTGTTGCTTTTCGGCAATTTCGCTCATGACATTTTTGATAAAATGTCATTCGCGAAATTGCCAAGCAACAAACTTTTCATACCTTTCGAAAATTTTGCCGACAAAATTTTTTCTCTTGTGATATTATATATGAAAATATCTAGGGGGGCCAAGACTTTTGACGATGTGTGTATCTATGTGTACCGCTAGCACTACAATGAAGTTTTTTGTAGCCCAAGACTGAGT